TTCACGTGTGTATGCTCAACCCTGTACTGAGGAGCCCACTGTTCATGCCGCATGCGCCACCACCACTCACACCCGCACTTGCACTCACACTCATACTCACACCCACACCTACTCCACTTATCACCTCCACCATTCTCACATACCTCATACTACTTCCACTCGACGTCACAGTTCACGAACTAAGGTGCTGCTTAGGTCACTTGCTTCTCGCGCGGTCGGTGCTTCGCTCGCCAAGCACCCTTCATCGGGTTGCCAAGCCATGGGCGACCTGACGGAGGACGACCTGCTGCAGATCGAGTGGGACCAGTATAGCAACGAGCCCATCGAGAGGTATTTATCGGTCAACCACTCTCCGGAAACGGAGTCGCGTTGGACAAAGTTTATTGCATACGCAGTTTATCAAGGTATGCTATTGACCGAAGAGGGCTCGAAACAGCACCACGACCAATTGGTGGAACTGCTGCGTGCAGTATATCCAGTCATGTTGTACGATTGTTGGGTGCGTGACTACATATTTACGGAATCAATGATGGGCCTTACAACCATTCATCCGTCTGCGTTTGGTCACCTGAATGTGCTTGCGGAAACGCAACGCCGGAAGGCCGTGGTCATCGTCACCGATTCTATTTTGTGCTTCCTTAACGGGAAGCGAAGTCGTACAGCCTATGAGCCGTTACAAGAGTTCAATGTCGCTTTCGGCGGAGACTGGGACTTCATCGAGGTCAAGATCGTATGGGGTGCTGAGTTACCTCGTTTAATGGCAGAGTACAAGGCTGCTGTTGCTCGCGTAAATGCGAGGGCCTTGCTCAACATGAGGGATCCCGCAAGGGATACCCCGCGCATCTTTGGTTTAATTTGGTGGAACGGCAACGACCTCGTCGGCAGGAACGGAATCACGCCCAATGATTCTACGTGGCGCTATGAGGCTGCAAATCCCGACAGACTCGGTACGCAGGCGCGCATCCTTGGCAACGTTAAACTGTTAGCCGAATGCAAGGAGATCTCCGACGAGCTCTGCTGTATATGTGGAATATCTTCTTATCTTTTTGAGTTGCCTTCGTTTGTCGATATTTTCTGGGCAGAAATCAACGACATCATTGAGAGTCTCGGCATACACCGATTCCAGCCTGACAATCTGGTTTACCAATCCGATAAAGTTGATCAATGGCATATGCGAAAGACGCAGGAGAACATCGATCGCTTCGTGAACTATGTGACCTCGATTGTCAAATTGTCGTACCATGTGAACGTCGTTGAAGCTTCCCGAGAGGGAATTGCCGCGCTCAACAGGGTGAGAAGATTTAAATACAGTTGGGATTCCTCAGCGACGGTCAAAATACCGGAATCGTATTTACAACTTATCAATGAATTTGTTGAACAGCGAAACGCGCGAATGCAACAGACGTTGGGGAAGAGCAGGCAGTTTACTGTCGAGGAAGTACAAGCGTACAGCCCCTTTGAGACGAATGACGTGTCAGTCGAAGAGCTCAAGGCCTCCGTTAACCTGGAAGGCGAAGATCCTCAAGATGTGTTGCAGTTTGTCAATGTTGTACCTGTTATTGAGCTACCGGAGGAACAGCCCGCATTGGACGAGCCGATGGATGACGTTGCGACAGCCGACGTAAAAGTCGAGCCGAAGGTTGAGGAAACCGACGCGGACGTTGAGATGCCCGATAGCTATACAGGCGCAACCGGCGAAGTACCTGGGCCTGATACTGGTATCGCAGGCGTAAATGCCTTGCCGACAGCACCAGAACCTGATCCACAGATGGCGAAGATCGAGGCCGAGGTTCTTGATGTTTTGGCTGATGATGAAACGACTGTTGAAGAAGGTGCAACCGGAGATGTTCCTATGATCCCTACGGACGCGGACCAACCCGCAGAGGGTCAAGCGTCTTCATCTGACCCGAGACCACCATTGCCGCGATTGCGAGGCAAAGGGCAGGGACAAGGCACCCCTTCGGTCGCTCCCGTAACGGGGAGCTTTCTTGCACCTGAGAACAACGACAACCCCGACTTGAAATTTTCTGGAAAAGGGAAGGGCGTTCTCGTTCGCGAGACGAAGCCTAACCCCGAGTACAAAAATATGCAGGTCGAGGTTGAAGAGGTTCTCGGAAGGTATCCTTACCCGGATCACCTACTCAAGGCCATCGGGAATGGCAACATCCAACTCCTCGAGGATGAGCTGGGCCGCGACGCCAAGCAGTACGCGCTGTACCACGTTACTGGCCATAGGTATTATTATGTATATGAGGATTATCATCATGGGCCTTGGGAGTGGTGCTGCTCCTGGCCACATCATGTTCGTCGCGGTATTTCTGGTCTTCTTCGTGGACACGTCCCAGACGTCAGTATTTATGATCCGGCGTGTTATTTGCCAATTTACAAACTACTAGATTTGGCGAAGGCCAAATTCCCTGATTATGCTGATTCTATGAATGTTTTTGAGTTGATTTCGATGGCTATTTATGACAACAAAGATCGTTTCGAATTTCAATGCGTGTACGACTCTCGTGTGAACGAGCAGCTCGAACTTTTCGCCGCCCCCGTCAAGATCCGATGTGGACAAGGCCACACTGACGACGTTCTCGAGACGCGATCAAATGAAGTGCTAGCAGTACTAATCTACTGCCGTCCTGACCATGTACACAGGTACAATGCTCGTTTGACAGCGCACGGGAACCGCGATATACCACCTCGGCTTTACCACCGAACGCATGAAGGTGCTGCGCGATCCATTATTGCGAGCGGGCTCATTCCCGGCGGTGGAGCCGGTGGACCGAAAAGCAAAGGCAATTCCTTCTTTTCAACACAACCTCTGGGAAACCAGAAGGCGATATCTGGTGTTCGCGCTGACCGACCAGTGGAGATTTGTTTTTCAACACCGGATGTGATTGAAGCAGGAGTTGATCTTTTCCTCACAAATTCTGGCGCGGTGATTACCAGCCATCACGTTCCGAATACGTGTATTCTATTTGCAACTCGAGCCCGCGCAAATGCGGAGCCAGAAGTTTTCTATTCGAGGCCGCAGGCATTGGATCCTTCGAACATTGAGATCGGTGTTCCGCAAGATGATGTGACATTGGTCCCGGGAAAAGTGTCGGAAGTACGCACCATTTTGGAAGGTACAAGCGACGCCACTCCCGAAGAACGCACAGCTAGCAGCAGTGCCGCAAAGAAGGAAGAGATGGAGGCAAATCGCAATACAGCTGTACCACAGATCGAGAGTGGATATTTTCTACATCTTCGAACTTTCAGCTGCGATAAATGTACGACACTTTCCTTAGCAGGAATGGCATCTTGTCATCGATGCGGAGTAGTATTTCAGAGCAATACAACAGATGGACCGATTTCAAAGTTTATGCGACTTCAGATGAGGCGTGCAAAGGTGCTACAAGAGCAGGGGGGCGTGCCCAAGAACATGACCGCAACAAGCATGCTTGACAGCATTGCCGCGCAGGACCTACAGTCTGGACGACCTCCAGCTCGTGGCAGCCCGTCAGTTGACAGTCAGATTATTCTTGCAGCTCGCAGTCGCCTTCGCAAAGCATTGAAATCAGGGTATGAGAATGTATTCGATCGATTCAACCGCGACGACGTCTTCGCCACCTCCTTAACCGGAGAAGGATGCACAGCGTTTGATGCAGCGCAAGAAGACTTGTTTGCGTCACTGCAATTACCGGCACCCACGAGATCAGCGAAGCAGAGATCAAAAGGGAAGTCGGTTGTCAGTGATTTGGATCGACTGGACAGGGTTGACCTCGCCAAGCTCGCGTATATTCGATGCGGTGTTGACAACCTACATACCTGTTTCAAGCAAGGCGTCGACGAGGACTTTCTGATCAGTTATCGCCGAGAGTTTATGTCACTCCGACAATACGCCGCCGTAATTGGCGATAGCCGAGATGAGATCAAGATCCAGGGCTTTATCCCCACGACGGACGTCTATGGCGATATTCATTCAATTCGTATTCCTCGTGGAGACACGACAGGCATTTACAAGATTTTGAGTGAGTTTGCAGAGCAGAATGAAAGTTATGCAAACATTCAATATCAGAGAAACGCGCAACAGTCTGCAAATATGCAGGGACGCGATCGTGGACAGCCAGTTTCACAGATGGGCTTCATGAACATCGAACAGCGCATGGCCACGCCTTATCCCAAGTTTGCCGATTGTGGCCAGGACATGTCATCTGACGAAGTCAGAAGGTTGGAAGAACTTTTGTTGGAGTTTGGACAGCGTGGATCCCCATCTCCTCAAGGACCTGTAACAAGGCCCCCGTTGACGCGGAAGCGATCGCAGATGTATATGGAGACTATTGGAGATGCAGACAAACGACCGAGGCTGCAGTGGAGGAGGAAAGAAGACCGAGATCAATCTGGTCGTATTGCAACTTGGGTTGACAACCGGACTCCACCGCCAGGCGTGCCTCAGCCGCCAGCTCCCGTAACAGGGACGCATACCTCGTCGGTATTCCGTATGAATGCACCTCCTGCTCAAGGACAAGTATCAGGCAAAGGAGACTCCCATAAACGGGATGCCAGTGTGCGAGGAGATGTTGCCGGTAAGGGCAAAGGGCAAGGCAGTTCTGCTGCGTCAGGTTCCACTGCTCCCGCAAAAGGGACGCCACGTGGTTCAGTTGCCCGTGCAATATCTCGCAGCCGTGAAGACCTTCCACCTAAGCGTGGCAACATTCCCAAGGACCTTTTGGGTCCTCCACTTCGCACTCCACCATCCACTCCTGCAAAACCGTCAATCCCAAAGCCTCCTTCCAATCCACCGTCAGTACCGGTGAAAGAGGCCCCAGCATCACCACCTCCACCACCTGCACC